TCACATTCGAAACGATATTTAAATTTTTATTGAATTGATATTCAATTATTTTTTTATGTGAAATTACTCCACTATTCTTTTTTTATAGAAAAGTTTGTTATAATTAGTTACAAAGATCAAACACGTAGAAAAAATTCCTTCGATCCGGCCGGATTGAAACCGACGTCTTCTAGCAAACCGTGTCAGACGCTATGCCAACTAAACCACGGAACGAACCAGCGGACCTCACGAACTTTTCTATATGCTTGTTGTCGTATCTTTTGTATTAGGTTGGGGAAAAAGTCTTTTCGTATTTTATATAGAAATTCAATACATTTTTTTAAATTATTTATTTACATTTAGTTATAATATATATGTGCCATTTTGTTCGACAACTTGTCGCCATTTTGTAGGTAGTGACATTATCCCATTGCTGTAGAAATTTTGGGGTTTCTGGTCAAAAAACTGCGACAAGTAGTTTTGACAGTCCTCTCGTGATGTTAACTTAGTACTACCCAAAGAATTCTGAAGAGACCGAAACAGGTGGAAATCTGAAGGTGCAAGGTCAGGACAATATGGCGAATGCATTAACACTTCCCAACCAAGCTCTCTCAATTTTTGCTGAGTGGCTAAAGATGTGTGTGGTTTGGCGTTATCGTGATGAAAAACCACACCCTTTCTGTTGATCAATTCCGGCCGTTTTTTCTGTATTTCTTGCTCGAGTCTCATAAGCTGTTGGCAGTAGAGATTGGAATTGATAGTTTTGCCTGGCGGTAAAAGCTCACAAAGCATTACCTTATTGCGAGTTAATCCGGGTTTTGCTACGGTCTGTGGAGCTTGACCAACCTTTGACCATGATCTTTTTCGCACGTTCTTGTCATAGGTAATCCACTTTTCATCACCAGTGATCAATCTTTTTAGGAACGGCTCTATTTCATTACACTTTAGTAGAGAATCGCAAATGTGTATTCGATTTATTAGGTTTCTTTCAGTCAGTTCGTGCCAAACATCGAGCTTTTTTGTATACCCAGACTTTTTCAAATGAGCTAAAACCGTTTTATGGTCAACATTTAGCTCTTCAGCAAGGTTGTAACTACTAACATGTCGATCTTGCTCCACTTTTTCAAAAATAGCATCAACTTTATCCGTGACAGGGCGGCCAGAACGAGCTTCATCTTTGACATCAAAGTTCCCGGACTGAAAACGCTTGAACCAATTTTGTGCTACTCTTACTGACACTGCGTTAAGTCCATAAACGTCACAAATTTTTTTCGCGGCTTGTGTCGCATTTTTCCCTTTCATGAAATAAAACTTCAGAATGTACCGAATTTTTTCTTTAAATTCACTCATCATGGCAGGCAGAAAAACAAAAGAAAAATGGCGGGAAATGGGTTTTATTTTTTTAATTTTATTTTTAAAAATGTAATCCTTCTGATGGTATCAAAAACAGCCAGATACATACTGTGCAGCCAAAGAGATTTTAATACAACTTTACACCAACGAAATACGAAAGAACTTTTTCCCCAACCTATTATTTGGTTTTTCAACGAATTTTTAGCCGTAGCGCCATCTATGAGAACTGTATTAAAGTATTTCGTCACCCAGTTAGATACCTTTACAGCTCTTTTTTTATAAAAAAAATAAATGCGCTTTTGACCTCCATCTCACCTGATAGAAAGTGACGATGAGGTCGAGGATGTAGCATGCACACCTAAATAATGTATAGTCACTCTCGCCTTGAAAAGGTCCAAGTTCCTTAATCATGAATAATGATTATGATACAAATCTTTCTTACAAGAATTCCATTTGCAGGTATTAAGGTATGCGAATGAATTATAATCAGTTAATTAATAATAGTTTAGTTGTCATTTACTACCAAATAAGAACACTTTATTTCTTTTATATTTCCGTTAACGCTAAGATATAAGATATGTCAATAAAGGTACTAAATAGTAGAAAATGGATAGTAAATAATGAGCACAGTTTGATTTGTATATCTGATCCAGCCATCCTGACGGACACTTCCTTTCGCACGTCTGGCGCACCTTAGGCAGCAATCGGCTGGCTAGCACCTTACACCGACACCGACAAGCAAACCTTTTCACCACGATAGTTCCGATTAGTAGATTCCTTTGCTCTATTACTCATTGTACCGGGAATTCTTAGTTCGAGACCAAGTTTTCATAAAAAACTTAGTCTCAAACGTAGAGAATACATTCAATCATTTTAAAAATATCCTGTTTTTTTCACATACACTCAACAAGGCCCCGCACTAGGATAACCCTGTGTCGCGGGTGCCATAGACACACACATTACACCCAAACTCACGAGAGAAATAAATATAGGCCATAGAAATGTTTCTCCCGGCCGGGAATCGTACCTAGGACCTCTTCGTGGCAGTCCGGCATGGTAATCGTTCGGCCTCTGGGGCAGTATATTTATAATTCGGAAACTTTTCCCGAAAAACCGAGAACTTTTCTAAATTAGTTCTAATCTAGATGTTTTGGATAGTGCCCCAGATTAACAGTACGTACACGAAATTCCTTAATTTGAGATCAACTAGTGTGGGTCTCTGGCACATTTATTATATTATTATGTTTGTTTTTCACATGTTTTTCTTTAATATCAATGTGTAATTGCTTTAACAAAGGTTATTTCAACATGGCATGAAAACACTATAATGAATAACTTTTATTTTTCGAATTATTTTTGCAACCTGAAGGTACAACCAAAAGAATAATGTGACAACCCTACGCCATACGTGAAGTATAGGGATGATGTCCCAAACAGACGGGAGTAGACGTACTTGGCATTATAAAACTATGGCAATAGTTTCTCTAGTTTTCGAGTTGTTTTTTCAATTTCCGTTAATGCCAAGTCTGCAGGTTGTAAGAAAATAATGGAAAGAGTCTGTACAGCCAAAAATGCACTCATAGTTACTATGCAATTTATGCAATACTTACGACCTACTTTTGTACTCGTGATATATCATTATATTGTTTTGTGGAAATGTAACTTAGTGTTATTATTAATTAAGTATTACAGAATCAAGTTACAATTTTTAATAAAATTTCAATACAAATTTAAGGAGCCTATTAGGAGCACAATAACTTCCGTATAATTTGTCAAGTTATCCTTAGAGATAAATTACGTTCCAAAAGAAACAAAGAATGCTTTAAGCTGACATCTTCTTAAACGAATTTTAGTAGCAGTACAGCTTCTTTCGAAATAACTCGTCCGGGGAAATACTGCCACATTACCTGTTTCTGCCACCAAGCAGCAATATGAGCATTACTGCGTTCCGGTTTGGAAGGATAAGGGTGCTGGTGAAATCACAGGGACATAGTATTCAACTCTCTTAGGGCGACGGGTGCAGTGGCAGTGCCCTCGAAATCTTTGCGATTTAAAGCCTGACAGACAATGCAATTGTTATGGACACGCGTGTCGTTACCACCAGACTCACGACTTGTTGGTCCCGTCACTTGATATCACAAGAAAATATAAATAAGCTGTTGCAAGACCAAAGCAAATATACTTACAGTCTTAGAATAATAACGCATAGAAACCTAGTCCGCACACGCTAAGTGAGGAAAATTGTAGGGAGCCAAATAGGCTCACACGAGCGGGTGGGCCGTCAGTGCTCAAGGTCAACATGCACCGCGAACAGCTCAAGAGTTTTAGCTAAAAATGACGAAATGTGCGGCAAATGAGTTTAAAAATACGTCAGACAAACATAAAATAGATACTAACATCACATTCCACAAGGAAGTAACGCGTTTCAACATATATTTTTATGTAAATATTCACTAAAACAGAAAATTAATTTCGTTGCAACAAGATACGAAAATGTTGCAAAGGAGCGGATTTTTTCTCCCCATTTTGCTATTCTGTTTCAAAATAATTATATTACGTAATTGTTTGAGCATAAGCAATATCGCGACTGTTGCAGAATTTCTACAAATGTACACGACCGTGATAACATTGTAAGAAATACGTTAGCTATTTTTACGGAATATATTAAGTATTTGCCTTCATTAGTTTCATATGAAAATCATTATTCTTGTTCATCATACAGGACTCATTTTAAAAAATTGTCTTGCCCAGACTCAAAAGTTCTTAACTAAACTTATTTCAGGGAAGTAACACTGACTAAAAAAGTCACAGGTTCAGGTTCTTTATTGTTATCATGTACTTTTCATGTGTTTATCCACAGATAATATCAGGATATTTATATATCCAAATTTTCATATACTAAAGTTAAATCCGATAGTCGCACTTAAACTCGCTTATAGGCCTTTGTTCAAATATGAATTAAATGAAACTTGGGTAGTATTTATTAACTTATTGATGAGTTAAGCAAGATACAATTTCCTCACTTTTGAGGGAAATGATATTCGATGGCATCATTATTTCTATATTTGTGTGCGTGCCGACGAGCGTAAATACAAGTTACTTACGACTACGTGAATTTGATTTTTGCCTCACTTGTGACAGTTCGTTTGATATGAAACTATCATTATGCATTATTATTCTAAGCTTACAGTTTATCAATTTACTACAAACAGCTTAAACAATAATAAATAAGTTTAAGCACAGCTATCAATCCAAAACAGAAAACAATAGTAAAGAAAAGGCGCCAAAAACAATCACATTTAAATTTAGAATTTAAATATAAAACTAAATTCAAAAACTCAAAAAGACTACATACATATATAAAATATATACAAAAGAGATTTGTAGCGTTTGCTAAAATGCGATTAGTCGCATAAGCAGTATTTGAATTAACCAATATAGAAAAAAGTTTATATATGACAGGAATCTGAAAACTCTTTGTACTTCTATTAACAATTTGTTTCATTATATATTATCGACGGTGTTAGACAGTTTATCCATGTAAACAACACGATAGTTTGAGATGCCGTGCACATCTTTTCGACATGACGCACGTTGCGATCGGCTTGTGAGTTTGTCTTGTTATACGACTTCTTTAAAGTTTTATTTGTATTGATTAAAAAAAATACCTGCTATTGATAGAGCTCCGTTGTAAACTCCAATGACTAGGGCTAAACTGCTGGCTCCACCTTGTTCCATGAAAAACTGGTTGAAAAGAATACCGAAGGCATTCGTCGAGCCGAATCCAAACATCTGAAATAAAAGCGTCACCATGTCATTTATGGTATGATCATCATCATCATCGGTAGGGCAAACGTCAACTAAACTGTTACCATGCCAGTACCTACCAGGACCATATCGACTCATCCGAAGAACAGAGTCCGATGTGATTATATAGCGAAAAGAGAATAAGTACGTTACGAGAATAATTTCGTTATTCAAACTAAGGCCTATGTAAAGGTGTTTCGACAATTTATATATCTTATTTCGTTTCGAAAGTATAAAATCGAACAATGCTCGATCTGACATTCACAGCGAAGAAGAACGAAATATAGTATGTCCTGAGAACAAGTAGTCTTGCACATAGATCTTTGTTCTACGGATGAGTCGATTTGCCATCTCTGCATTAAATCGTCCGTTTATGTGATGTGGGCAGTGTGATATATTTATTGCATATTTAATAGAAACTGCTTTATAATTTTCGTTTTAACGTTTTCATCTCGACAGTATCATATATCCAGCTGCATAATCTACAACCGTGTTAACAACATTTTGAACATTAACAATTTAAATAAATTTGAGATTAAACATACTTTGTCAAATTGGCTTTTAAATCTGAACTACGATGATACAGAAATTCTACTACCAAACAGCACTTAATCACTCACTTACACCCACATACACAAATTCTCACACTCACTCATACACACTCACTCCCACACACACACCCACACTTACACCCACATACGCTCCAACATACACACCCACTGACACTCACACTCAAATAAACTTACACACTTATACACACACACACACACACACACACACACACACACACACACACACACA